GACTAAAAATGGCAAAGAGGAAGAAGGGGGGGAATCAAGCTGGGGGGGGGATAAATAAGGGAAACCAGGAGACTGATGCAACTCTGAAAGCTGCTACAGGATGGACCAGTGGTCTGAATATTCATAAAGGAGCTTCCTATGGCCATCACTGCTATGTTCTGGCCTACCCTGGCTGGCTGGCTGGCTGGCGGTTAGGCTAAAAATGCCACTCTAAGCTCCTTGACAAAAGGGCATGATACAAGGCTAACAAACAAACAAATGTCAGGGTGATAGCGGCTTTAAAAGTGTTTTTAACTGGATATTGCATGGACTGATAATATTTTTAAAATTTGGAGACTACACTGAAGTACATTTGAGCAGAGTGATAAATGAAAAATATGATCAGTGCATACACACATGCCACATAAATGCCATTTTCTATCAAATCAATGTGGATTATTAATAGGGATATAGGAAGCTGCCTTATACCAAGTCAGACCATTTATTCACCTGGCTGACTACTGTCTACAGCAGGGGTCAGCAAACTTTTTCAGCAGGGGGCCAGTCTACTGTCCCTCAGACCTTGTGGGGGGCCACACTATATTTTGAAAAATAAAAATAAAAATGAACGAATTCCTATGCTCCACAAATAACCTAGGGATGAATTTTAAATAAAAGCACACATTCTACTCATGTCAAAACACCAGGCAGGCCCCACAAATATCCCAGAGATGCATTTCAAATAAAAGGACACATTCTACTCATGTAAAAACACACTGATTCCTGGACCGTCTGTGGGCCGGATTTAGAAAGTGATTGGGCCGGATCTGGCCCCGGGGCCTTAGTTTGCCTACCCATGGTCTACAGTGACTGACAGTGGCTCTCCAGAATTTTAGGCAGGGAGTCTGTTCCAACGCTCCCTGGAGATACCCTTGGGGATTGAAACTGGGACCTTCTGCTTGAAAATATATTGCAGATTATTAATATGTTGCATACTGCAATCTAATGAAGATATTTTACTGTTCAATATGTTCCCAGCAGGTACCTGCCATCTATAGTGGCAAACAAGATTCTAAGGATGGTGCAGGAGAGCAAGTTCATTGCAGCTGCACCCTGGATACCAGCCAGCTCCTGACAGATCCCTTTGCTGGGACCCCTGACTTGCAGAAGCTGCAGAATGTGGCACCAGGGCCAGCTTTTGCACGGATGGCAGGCCACAGATCCAGCTCCAGTGGGAGAAGCTGATGGGCATTTCATGTACCCATGTTGCACAATGTTGGCTGGTTGGGGCATCCAATGGGTGTGTGACAGAAAGAGGTCATGTGATTGCTTCAGCATGCATGCCCTGCCACACGGACCATGCCACTCTCAGCAGATTTGCAGTGGCAAAGTTAAATGTGGGTGGGCACATATGGAACCCCATGTTCACTTTCTGCCACACAGGCTGAGCAGAGGTACCAAAAGACCCAGCCCACATGTATTTGATGCACCTGTTCAGTTGCGCAGAGTGACCTCAGGTTTTGTCGGTAACATGCACTGCAGGATAGAGATAATCCATTTATTTGGCATCCCGAGAGCAATCAGCCCATGTGCTCCTAGCTGAACTGATCCCACAAGGCATATTTCAATGTGTTGAGGCCTTGTATTAAAGATGAGACATGAATCAAAGTCTCCTTTAAACAAACTTATTTACTTTATGACATGTTTTCCTAAAGCAGCTCCTGCAGAAAAAACTGATAGGACCCTCCATAATCCACAGACCAGTTAAGTGACAGGTCTGTTGTTTCATCAAGGCCATGTTGAATGCAAAGGAGATGGGCTGTAGCTCCTTGGTAGAGCATCTGCTTTGCACGCAGAAGGTCCAGGTTCAACCCCCAGCATCTCCAGGTCGGGTGGGAACATCCCCAGATTGAAACCCTGGAGAGCTGCTGCCAGTCAGTGGACAATATGGAGGCAGGTGCTCCAAAGGTCTGACTCAGTGAGATTCCTATACAGTGGTACCTCGGGTTAAGAACCTAATTCGTTCTGGAGGTCCGTTCTTAACCTGAAACTGTTCTTAACTTGAGGTACCACTTTAGCTAATGGGGCCTCCCGCTGCCACCATGCTGCTGCCATGTGATTTCTGTTCTCATCCTGAAGCAAAGTTCTTAACCCAAGGTACTATTTCTGGGTTAGTGGAATCTGTAACCTGAAGCGTCTCTAACCCGAGGTACCACTGTAATGCTGTAGCATTGGGGAGTGCAAAAAGATGCTTCTGGTGTGAACAGACTTGCCTGTGCATCTTATCTACTGGGTTATAATTCTCCATTGCTACCTGTCCCAGCCCAATGCAACCTGCAAAGGATATGGAAATATCAGGACTATGCAACGTTGCAGTTAAGGCAAGGAGGCTGCTTTTTCTTCTTCTTCTTTACATGATCTGCCAGTGACATTGCATAAGAACATAAGGAGAGCCCTGTTAGGTCAGGCTAAAGGCTCATCTAGTCCAGCATCCTGTTCTCACAGTGGCCAACCTGATGCCCCTTCAGGGAAGCCCACAAGCAGGACCAGCGCACAGCGACATGTTCTCCACTAACTGGCATTATTCAGAGGCATATTGCCTCTAACAGTGGAAGTACAACACAGCTGTAGTGGCTAGTAGCAATTGAGAGTCCCCTCCTCCTCCTCTGCCTCCTACGTGAATGTGTCTGAGCCCCTTTTAAAGTCATCCAAGTTGGTGGCCATTGACGCAATATTGGGGGAGTGAATTTTGGAACAGGACTGTGTGGAAAAGTACTTTGGTTCATCTGTCCTGGATCTTCTAACAATCAGCTTCACTGAGTGCAGGATGGTGGGGCGGGGCAGGGAGGTGGGAAGAGAAATCATTTCAGAACTTAATAGGCTGCCAGATTAAAATTTGTCAGACAGGGTTCGTGATCAGCATCTCCATCCCTGCACATGCTAACAGGGGTCACGATCCAATGGAATTTGGGAACCCACGGATGGGTAATCTCTGTATGCTGCCCATTCTTACCCACTAAATGCCACCCTATACCTGGCACCTAAAGCAGCTGCTTCCACCTTCATTGCTGCCTAGGTCCGTGGTTATTCATTTGCAGTGAGGGGCATCCCAGGTGACCTTGGATCCTGCCCTTAGTCCCCACACTTTTGGGGCTGGCAGGGGCCACTCAGTGGTGGTGAGAGAAAGTTGCTCTGTTCATGGTCAGAAGTAGCTGCTGTCATTATTATTTCACAACCCACAGGGCTCAGCTGCATCCTACTACCCCAATGAAAAAGCCCTTTGGGGTGTCCCCTTGGGGGCTGTTATAGTAAGCCAGGCCTTGGACCACACATCCCAACCCAGCTGCATTCACTCAGACAACAATAAACAAGAAGACACACTACAAGCAGCACAAACACCTGCAGGCAGATATCACACAGGTCAAGCAACTGTTGTAGTGCAAACACACACACTTGTTCTCAGGGAGAGCGGACCAAGCCAAGACCAGGGCAGTGCACAGCCAGCCCTTCTCTGTCTGTAGGTCTGTGGGTTTGCCTGCTGTGTTCCTATTATGGGAAAGGCTGCAGCTCAGTGGTAGAGCATCTGCTGTGCATGAAGAAGAGCCCAAGTCCTGTCCCTGGCATCTCCAACTGGGAGTGCCCCTTGTCTGAAAGCTTGGAGAGCTGCTGCCAGTCCGTACAGACAATACTGGCTGACTCTGTATAAGGCTGCATCCGATGTAGTTACACTGCTGGTGAGTTGAATGCCTGGAAAACGAAGTTGCTTTTCTGTAAAAGGGAGAAGAAAGTCTGTCAACAGGAGCTGCCCATTCTCGATTTGCTTCCTCCAACTTGCCTCATTCCATCTCTCTCAGCCCCACAAATCTGGCCTCTTCCTTTTGTTTCTGCTGCCTTTGCCTTTTCTTTTCAAGGCAGCTAGTCTTGCCTCCGCCCTTTGGGCTCTTACTCACCAACACGCCCCCCCCCTCGAGGGACAGATCCGGCCTTATTTGGTTTCATAACAATAAATCAAAATTTAGTTAACCGTTAAACTGGGAGGTGGTATTGCGAGGAGAGTTATGTCTGGAATAAAGCACAGCCCATTTGCTGAGGTTTTTCTGCTCCCAGCAAAGACATATTTTTCTGCCCAGGTAACCAGAAACAAACTGCAAATCCACCTGGGACTGCCTTCCTTGGGATTTTAAAATGTTTCTTCCATCAATGCATTCTGGGTTATTTTATTCGGAAACCGAGTGGTGAGCCAGGCAAGCAAGGCTACAGATTTTTATTTTTTTTAAGAACAGAACACAAACAAAACCAGCAACATATAAATGATACCACCTCCCATCAAAATTAATTTCCTCTATGGGGAATTAATAATTCAGTAGTTTCTTATATACTGTGTCCCAGGGGAAAGGGGGATGGGGACTACACTACAGTGTACACACACACACACACACACACACACACAAACACACACACACACACATATATACATATTTTAAATGTATTTTTTCTTAATAAACAACCACCCCGCTTTGATCAAAGTTAATTTCCCTGGCACATAATACATAAAAACAGTTCAAGCCCTGTTAATATCTTTTTTGTAATAAGCAAGCCTCCCTCTTTTGATCAAAATTCATTAGATCCTGCTGTAGCCAGTGCGTTGGAGAGTGCGATGCTTCACTCTAAACACTGAACACAGATAGAATCTGCACATCACTCCGTATGTTAATCCCTCTCTCTTTCTGGATACAGGCAGATGTTTCCTTTGCACCTGCCTAGCTGAAGCCTCTTTATAGAGAGAGTCACACGGACTCAGAGGACAAACTTTGCCTGCATATTAACTTCTCCCAGACCCCCTCCCCGGAATTAACGCCCCTTTCTAACATCTAGTTAAGTTCTTGGCAACTTTGGGTTGAGCAAGACCTAGTGTGTGTGCAAGCGTCTTCTTGTGTGTGTGCAAAACTTTAGAAGAGGAGGGGAAATGCTGCGTCTATCTCTCCCCGCCGCTCCCCGCCCCCAAGCAGGGCGCTGTCCGAGGTTCTCCCCGCAGGGAACAAGCCTGCTGCCCCGCGTGCCCTGTTCGTCGGAGGGGCGCGTTGCGCGGCGGATTTCTCCGCACCTGCTCCTCGGAGGGGCGCGGTGGCGGTCGGGCAGCGGGGTGGGGAGTGCAGACTTGCCTTCGTCAGATTTGCATGAAGAAGGCAGGCAAGGAAGTCGCTTTCCAGGCGCGGTGCTGCACCATCTTAGCCATCCTGGGCCCCGGAGGACACAGAGCCGCATCCCAAAAGCAGGGGCTTGTATTTTTTTGCGGGGAGGTGGGTCTCAGCGTCAGCCCTATCTTTTCCCTCCCTCCCTCTGGGTGCGGGGGGGGGGGTTGGCAGCTTTCCTACCATGTTGCTATGGCGGAGACGAAGAGGAGAGGGGGGAGGAGGAAGCCTCGCCTCGGTTCTGCCCTGCAGGCGGGGGGGAGCATCACTTCGCCGGGAGCCGCGGAGAAGGAGCAAGAGCAGGAGGAGGAGACGGGGCGGGCGCAAAGGAGGCGGCGGCGGCGCCGAGGAAGGGAGGGACGGCGGGCAGCCCAACCCAGCTCGGGCTCCGCTCTGTTCCATGCGCGCCCGGGTCTCCCGCGGAGTTTCCCCACTCGCTGAGCGCCCGGAGGCCGGGCAAGGAGGAGGAGGAGGAAGGAAAGCAACGCGCTGCCCGACGGAGCCAGACCAGGTTGTTGCTGCCGCTCCTCCAAGACGTCCGGGGGCTCGCCGGAGATGCGCGGTTGAGCGCGGGGCTTGCGCGAACAGCGGAGGCGCACAGCTCAGGTCAGTGGCAGGTGCGGGTCGCGGGGCTTTGGGTGCATGGAGGCACACGCGGACTTCAGGGCAAGTCCTGCGGAGTGTTGTGGAGCTTGGTTCCGGGAAGCGCGCAGTCGGGCGGGCAGGCAAACGCGCAAGCCCGATCCTCTGCCTATACGAGGTATGCCTCTCTCTCTCTCTCTCTCTCTCTCTCTCTCTCTCTCTCTCTCTCTTGAAAAGGATAAGGCTGCAAGCCGGTACCCACTTACTTGGGAGCAAGCCCTTTTGAATTCAGCAGGTTGCGTTACGAGCCCCGTGGGTTTTACTCCCGCGTAAACCACACGTAAGATCCAGCCGGGAAAGGAGAGGTAACGGGACTCATGCTTAGGAGCGAGTCGCGCCACCTGACGCCGGGATCCCTCCGGGATTTGGTGTGGGGGGAGCAACTCTGTACGAGTCCAGAGGCTTGATTCTTCTTTACCCTCTCCCTCTTCTTATTTCTTCCCTGCCCTCAGGGGCTTCCTGGCTCGGGGCGGGGGGGGGGAGGGAGAGAAGTTTCTGCAGCTAACGCTTGAGCTTCCAGGGCTGCCCCGCGGCTCTCTCGCGCAACTTTTTTTTTGCTGGAAGGCAGAACCGCGCGAAGTGCGCGCAAGACGGTTTTTGCGCTTGGGCGCCTTGCTTGTTTGTGTGTGTGCCGGAGGGGGGGGGGCTCCGGGCCGGGAGGTGTGTGTTTCCCACATGCATTTCTGTCGTAAGTTCTGTGCGGGGTGGGGGCAGGTTGCACCAAGCGTTGAAAGGAGCTGGAAGGGGCAAGGAATTTGTTTGAAAAGAAAGTTTGCAACGGGAGCTGGGAAGGTCAGAATGCCATCTACGCATGCTCAGGGACTTCGCGACCGTAAATGTTGGTGATCGCTTTATCTCGAGATGTAACGAGCCTTTAGCTCAGAAGGGTCCGATCCATGCCTGCCGTGTGCCCGAGTCTGTGGTGAGGAGGAGCTGATGTTCGGCAACCCGAAAATCTGTAAAATGGGGATGTTCCTTGATGTCTCCAGGAAATATTATTATCCAGGCCTTGGACGAATATCCAGGATCTGAGGGGAAGGCTCCCATTCCGGAGTGTTTTCTCGTGGGGTAGAAATTCATTTCCCACCCACCAAACGGAGGAGGCAAGGCACTCTGATGCTTCCCAGTACACAAATTTTGGAGGGTTTCCTCAAAAGTGCTTATGTCCAATCATCAGAATACTTGGCACCTGTATAATAATTACAGGTAGCTATTTTGCTTCGTTGTGGAAAGGGTTGAAAAGATGGGGGCAAAAGTTTATTAGGAGCAATAAAAATGTGACAAAGTAATGGCATTTATGTACTGCACTTTAGAATGTACAGCGACTGTGATTTTGTCATCCTTACAACAATCCTGTTAGGTAGGTCAGTGTCATTAGCCCCATGCTGCAGATGAGGGTGGCTTGTCCCAAGGCCACCCATTGTAGTCTCTTCCCAAGTTGGTGCTCTCCAGATGTTTGAAACCACAACTCCCGCCGGCCCCCAGGCAGCATTGCCCTGTTAACTGGAAGTTGCAATTCCAGGCATCTGGAAGTTGTGGAAGACTGAACTAGTGAATTCTTGATGGAGAGTAAAGATTTGAAGCATGCGCTCTTCCCAATTCATCCCTCAGCCTCTTGGCTACTTTGCATATATAGGACCTGCCAGCTAACAGCTGGATCCTAGCGGCATTTACTTAGAAGTAAACCCAGCTGTATCCCAGCACACATGCCATCTCCATGGCTGAGCTTTTCATTCCTAGCCTGTAACCATTTGGAATAAGACATTCCATTGCAACTGTCAGCCTTTTGAAATTCACAGCGTGCATCAGTGCAAGGATTCAAAATATCTGGGTTCCTGTAAGATGCTTTTTGCAAAAGGGGTATGTCAGAACTTTTAAGGGGTCAGGGCACAACTGGATGGGTGCTGTTTCTCCACCAAACCCAGGGAAATGAATGGGAGATGGGCACAGTGCTCTTGCATAGATTTCACTCATTTCCATAGGGCTGGCACGGGAGAATTTGGGGTGGAGGGGGAGCCTCACCTGACTTTATCCTTCCTTTTAAAGTAACTTCCCTGAATGTGTATTTGCAGACTGCAGCCTCTCCTATCCTATAGGTAGATTTCCCCCCACGAAAAATATGGGCCTAAATCAATACACATTATTTGCAAATACATGTCCCTGAATCCCAGCTGACCTTTCTTCCCTTTTTCCCTCTAAAAAAAGTTGCTTTAGGATGGGGCAATTTAGAGCAAAGTGTCGAGGAGAGGGTTGCTCAAACCCTTTCCCCCACCTCTCTGCTTTGGGTGCAAACAATGTGTTTGGTCTGCATGTAGACTTGGAAAAGAGATGAGGTGGGGAAAGGGTTATTGTGTTCCCTCCTTTTGATGCCTCCGCACTCCAAAAAATTTTGTGTGTGCATTTCATAAGGAGCTGGCTTTCCACTGGCTAACTAGAGGAGAGTTCAGCAGGTTGATTTCAGGAATGTATCTCACCACTGGAAGCTCAAAGCACATAAATCGTCTCTTTTGAGAACAAAGTAGTGTAAGAATTTTTTTATATGATCTGGATACATTTATGAAAGGTATTGTGGAGCAAAATGTACAGGGCGTCCAGCCCGGGTGTGCTGCTGGAACGGATGAGAGTTGCAATGTATTTATTTATTTAATTGCATCTATATCCCTCCTTTTCCTCCCAGGAACTCAAGGCGGCACACACAATTCTTGCCCTCCCCACTTAAACCCCACAACAACCCTGTGAGGTAGGCTAGGCTGAGAGTGAGTGACTAGCTCAAAGTCATCCAGTGAGCTTCATGGCTGAGTGGGGGTTCAACCCCTAGTCTCCTGGGTCCTGGACTGGCGTTCAGTCCAAAACAGCTGGAGGACACCAGGTTGAGGAAGGCTGTGATAGACTGACAAGTTAGGGCATGGTGTTGGTGCAACAAACATTGTTGCTTCAATCCGCCCCCCCCCCCCGCATCCCATAAAGCCCATACTTAAACAGTCTTGCTGCATCATTCAGACTCCTGTCCTTGCCTTCAGCTATCTCACCATGCCCTCACCCATTGCAGCCTTCGCCCTAAAAGATGGCTAGGCTGGCCCTAACCACAGCATTTCTTGTGAGTGGAACCTGAGCGCTTTTAGTTGGGGTGTTCTTCTGTTTGTTTGGTGACCACATGTAAGGCAAGAATGGGCAAAAAGTTAGAGTCCTACTTAATTCACTCTTCCAGAAATAATCAATACAAAATGCAGCCATCCTTTGAAACTCACACTCCTCTAAACTTCACAGTGCAGTTCTGCTGCCCCCCCCAAATGTGTATTGTAGTGAAAAGTATGCACAAAAATGCATGAATCAGTGAAAAAAATAACATATAATGGGCAGTGTATTACGGGAGGAAATCACTGCAAAAATGTGTGCATTAGACAAAATTACATACACCCGTCTGTTTATATTAGGAAAAATCCACACTTAAATCTTGTCAAATCTTCACGAGATGCTGATGATTTAATTGCAAATTGCTGCAAAATGTGGAGAACTGAATTTAAGATTGGGGGAAAGAATGGAAAATGGAAAGAATCAAAACGGACAAATCCTAAAACGCTGGTGAATTTTCATGAAGGCTTAAAACGAATATAACAAATAGATGCAGAAATAGGGCAAACTGAACTGAAGACAGAAAATGAGATGCCCTAATGGACATGTTTGCCTACCCCTCAGGGAAGCCTGCCTCAGCTCTATGTTCAATATGCGGAGGGGCAGCTCAAGTGTGTGGAAAAGGCTCGCCTCATAAAAGGGAGCATTACTGCAGTGTTACCCTTTGTACACCAGAGCCCGCTTGCATCTGATGCATGAAGTTACATCAGTTTTGTTTTTTAGATCTGTGGGGTTTTTTAGAGGCTTTTATTGATCGTGTTTATTGTAATTGGTTTTAGCATTTCTATTGTATCTGTAACTTGCTTTGACTCATTTCCATGAGTCAAGGTACACACACACAGTTTTGAATAAAAAATATTGTTGTATTTCATTAAAGAAAAAAATCCAATCGTTTACTATCAGGGTGCGCTGATTTCATCAACACGACGTTTTTCTCCCTAGAGATATCCAGGGATGGAGATGGATAGTGGGCAAACTGAGCAGATATCAAAAAACTAGGATGGCACTTGTTCCTCAAGTGTCTTGGTGGAGAGATTCTGTAATTGATACTTAGGGTTAGTTGAACATCTCCTAAGAGTTTCCTAGCTGGAGTCATGTGGAGTCTGTCTCATCTAATCTCCCTAGTTGCATGTTTACATGGGCCCCTTGCATTTATGTCTCGTTTGTTCATTTTGTCATGCCAATTAATTCTACTATGTACATTTGACATCTCTCCTGTCTTTTATCCAGCGTGAACAGTGCTTGTGCATGACACAGATAATAGAGCAGATGCATAGCTTTGTTGCAACCTGAGATGAGAGCGCTGCACTGATTCGGCATCAAAAACAAGAGCAGTCGTGTCCAAAGGATGGTGCAAAATATATTTATTTGTTAGAAAGCCCAGTGTGGTTCAAATAATGTGGCTCTGTCTCAGACATTTCCTTCCTTTCATCCTAAAAACATCTTCACTCAAACACTGTCAAGTTTTCTATATGTAAAAAATACTACAGTGGTACCTTGGGTTAAGAACTTAATTCGTTCTGGAGGTCCATTCTTAACCTGAAACTATTCTTAACCTGAGACACCACTTTAGCTAATGGGGCCTTCCGCTGCCACCATGCCACCGCCACACGATTTCTGTTCTCATCCTGAAGCAAAGTTCTTAACCTGAGGTAATATTTCTGGGTTAGCAGAGTCAGTAACCTGAAGCATCTGTAACCTGAAGCGTCTGTAACCTGAGGTACCACTGTACTCTTTTTCTCTAGCAGGGACAACCAATGTAGCCCTCTGCATATGTTGTTAGAGTACAACCAGCACAACCCATTGTCAGGGAGGATGATGGGAGCTGTAGT